TGCTTCCTGATGAAGTAACTGGTTTTTGGCTTCCGTAGAAGCTGGCACAAGGGTGGGAAACCATAAAAATATAAAAAAAATCTTTTTCATTTTTAATCCTTATAGCTGCAGATGGAGATGGACCTGGAGGGTAAATATAGGATGTAGCTGGCCAGATGTTCAGGACCCATGTTCCAGAGGCCCCCCACTCAGCACCAAACAATAAAAGTATTGTCCATGAATCATATTTACACATTAGTTTTCAGCCTAGCAATTTTGCTTTGAGCAGTGTGTGTGTGCATGTGTGTGTGTGTAGTATATTGATAGAGCTGGTTGTTGACTGAAATAGATTGGAAGCTGGAATACTAAACAAGCATGTCTGGACCTTTAACTACAAAAGAAGAATGTGATTCAGCTTTTATTTCATGGGCAGATTTATCTTTATTAAAGCAATTCTTTTTTGCTCCAAAAGGATTTGGTCGCGGCTGAACTGAAATAGGTATAAAATCAAATTCAGTGCAGACACACATGGATACAAATATCCCCATTACATTTATGAATAAAAATCGCATGAGAAGAGCAGAAATCACATCTCGTCTGTCCAGCAAGCACTTTATCCCAACATCTAACCTTGGCAAGTATGTACGATGTGGTCACCATGAGGTACTGAAATAAATCACAAAGGTAACATGAAAAGGACTACTGAAGTATTATAAAGAAATCAAAATTGTGGATGATTTTACATGCCTTGACTGAGTCATCAATTCAAATGGTGACTGCAGCCAAGGAATTCAAAGAACCCTGAGACTTGGAAGGGCAGCAATGGAAGAACTACAAAGATCATCAAGTGTAAGGACCTTTCACTGGAAACCAAGACCACGATCGTTCACATCAGTGCATTTCCAATCACGCTGTAAAGGTGGGAAAGCTGAACAGTGAAGAAAAGTGACAGGAATTAAATGGATGCATCAAACATGGAGCTGAGAGCTCTGAGAATGCCCAGGACCCATAGAAAAATGAACAAAGATCAATTGCTAGATAACAGCGACTTTCTTGAGAAGCAAAACTGACAAAGCTGAAGTTGTCATTCTTTGGCTACATTGTGAGCAGGCAAGACTTCCTGGAGAAGTCAGTCTTGCTAGGGAAAGTCAAAGGCAGGAGAAGAAAAGGAAGACAAGGTAAGAGATGGAGCGACTCCATCAAGGAAGCTACAGCCTTGAGCTTACAAGAGGGCGGTCATGGACAGGGTGTTGTGGGGGGTTTTCATTTGTACAGTTAGCATAAATTGTGGACAACTTGGCAGCACCTGACAGCAAGAAAACACAAAAAGAATCTGGCTCTGTATTATATTCTTGCCTTGTGTAGATCCAGATTAATGGCATTTTTAACTTGGGTGTGGGCCACTGATGATTCCCAGAGGCACATGTCTTGCAAAACTTCACAACTTAGTAGTTCTGTGACACTATCCTTTCTAAGACATTGTCACCTGTACACAATACAAGATCCAAAGTGTATAGAAACACATATTTATTTTCCGTGAATAAAAATACACTGTATAGTAGAAGCATGTCACAAGAACAATTATTTGCATATAGGATGATTTTGTAGCCCACAGTCATTAAATAAATGGTTTCGGATATATTTTAAGGTGCTTTTATATTTGTATTCTTATATTATTATGTGGCATTTATTGTTGGAACATCACCTTGTAAGAGTTTGAAGCCCTGAAAAAGGGTTTAGTAATCCTCTAATGTATACCAATGATGATGATAGTGCAAAATAATAAATGCATAGGTACAATCCAGCTTATGCTAAATACCTTTTTTAAACTGAGGTTTCTTTGAAAGGGTTAACTTTCCTCAGTGATGTTTAATTACAATTGCAAACTTTTAGAAGCTGCACTTCAACTATATTCTACTCCCGAGGTCCTACAGACATACCAATCACCTTTCAGAGCAGAAGATTCAGACAATATGATATTTTTTTTCTGAGAGAGGGGAAACTAGGAGCAAGTGAGCATTTCCCACCATTCCAGGAAACGAGATAAGGCAGTTAGACAACCATGTTGTAAAACAAGTCCTTTCAGCTTGCTATCACTTGCTTTCACGTATAACCATGTACTAGCACGTTCAGCCTTAATTTTATCCCTGCATGACTTCCCCCATTTTGACTTAGTCTCCCCTTCACCAAAGTTTCCTTTCTGGGCTTTTCATTAGCAGTATTAGTACACCATTATTTTCCTCCCCTCCTGAATAAGCACAAACAGCCCATTCTTTGCACTGTGGTTACCAAATACAGAGAGAAAGATGCCCTGCTCTAATCAGGGCTAGGAGTAAACAACTATCCAACCATTTCAAGGCCCTCTTGACTCATGTCTTCCCTTCCTGAAAAGAAACAGTATTCTGGCGATAATTATCTTTTGTACATCCACGGGTGTCCCTATTAACTTGCTTTTCAATGATGCTAGCAGATGGTTAAAGGAAGTGACATCTTTACCCTTGCTCTAGATTATACCCTGACGATTCCTGATCTGTAGAACAGTCAAGGATTTAATTAGTTGGTTGCTTAGTTGCCTGTGGCAGAGGTACCTGTGCAGCTCTCCTGGTGCACATTTAATTTCGATGTAATTTTGATGTGATTTATACTTTTAAAACTAAGTCTGACTGTGGGTCTGGGGTGTGACAGGCTCAGAGAGTGCAGGGTGCACTCTGACTGGTTCTGCCCCCAAGCTGCCATTTTTCAAAAAATGCCATCCCAGGTCACCATTCTGAGGAAAGCTGCAACTGGTCTCTGTGTTTCTGCCTGAACCGAAAGTGCCTCTCGTTCCGCGAAGAAATGCCTGTACACAGCGTAGATTGTGGCTCTACAATTGTGCAATTCTGGCTCTGAGAAGCGACATTGCAGCTGAGCCATCTCAATGCCTTGTTGTCTTTCTGTCATATGCCTTTGCTACATGACAGTCTGAGAGGGGACAGCAAGATAAGAGCTTTGAGGATTGCTAGATGGGTCCTGGAGCAGGCAAATTCGATCCTCATTAACCAGAGGTGCTAGCTGGGTGGAAAAGAGTGCTTGGGACCTGACAGCTGAAGTCTGGCAATTTAGGGTTAGGGGTAAGAGGGAGAGGGAATCTCTGGGGAGGGCAGGTTGGTTGGTTCACAATGTGTGAAAGGTGCAGAAAAAGTGGCAGAACTTTGGGTGACTGGTGAACGTCAGCAGTGGCGTGCAGACAGCTGGGTTGTGTTGCGTGCAGCCTCAAGGTCTTGCCAGAGGAAGGCTATACATGCAGGCATTAAGAACGACTGTCCAGATCAGTCGTCTGGACAGTCGGTGATACAACCTGAGGAACTCAGCCAGCATATGAAGCTGGAACTGCCTTTAAGAGTATTTGGCTGTGGTGAGTGCGCAGGGAATCAGACCTAACATAAAAGAAGTTATTGGAGGCTTGTAACTCCAAGTGCGTCTCTTGGGTCCTGAAGAATTGTCACTGAGCTGTCTTTAGAAAACCCCAGAGTAAATATTAGAAATCGTTTGTCTGCAAAACAATCCTTTAATAAGTCGGCTTGTTAACAGCTATTAGAGGAATGGTATCAAAGAATCGCAAAGTAAAACAGAATGTTCAGTTAAGTGATTGGTATAAAGAAGTTCTGAATATAGCTATTCATGGTAAGTTAACTTGTGATATTACGCTAAAAAGGGTTTGAGAAGTAAGAATGATTTTGATGGTATTTAGGGACTGCTTATTCAGTATGCATTAATAAAAGGGAAGGTTTTTATACCTTCACAAGATTTAATACGTTTTGAAAGGGGAGTAGGACCTCCTTGGAGAGTAACTGATCTATTATGTAACAAAAGTTCCCAATGGAGAACTGCCCTGTTTTTGTTACTGTAGTTTAAATTGTTTTGATTAATTTTTCTATTAGTACTGAACATTATTTCTGTGTATTGAATTTAACATGATGCTGACGCTGACGCTGACGCTGACGAAGAAGAAGAAGAAGAAGAAGAAGAAGAAGAAGAAGAAGAAGAAGAAGAAGTTGACTTGTTCAATGGCTCACCTTGTCTCTGGTGTTGGTGCCCATTACATGCCTATTAGTGGGAGCTTTTAAACTATTCTAATAGAATTAGTCGCATCAACGAAGAGTCTTTGGTATTATGGTGCAATGGCAGCAAGATCCTTAGGCCCAGAATACTAAGTATTTTCTATAGATAAGAAACCTGGCAAGTGGACTGCACAGTGAAGGAGCAGTTTTTCCCTGGGAAGCTGTAATTGGAAGAGGTAATCCAGTGGTTCCTTCATACAAACATACGTACTTCACATGTTAGACCTATTTAAATTAATCATACTGCAAACACACAATATTTTTGTGTTGTTGTTGCTGTTGCAGAAAAAGAAAGAAAGTTTATTTGTTCAAAGCCAGGTCTAAAAAAAGAAACTGCACAAATAAAGATTAGACTGAGTAAGCCCATGCCAGTCTTTTCAATCAAATAATCCTGCTTATCAGCACTAGTCCATGATGTAATTTATGCCAAATAACATGTCTTAGTTCTCATGGTGCTAGACGACTCTCTATTAGTGCTTTTGTTGCAACAGACTCATGGTGCCCCTGAAAACCATTGTTAGTCTCTGCTTATGTTGTACACCCCTGAAACTGCTTAGTCCATGGATGCAGTGGACTTGGTGCTTTTGCATGGCTTCTCCACTCATAATTTTTCTTGGGTACATTCTCAGACGTAACCAGTTTGGTACAGTGGGCAATCAATATAACAGTATAATTTTCTTTATGCAATGTCCTAGCACAACTTTAAATAATGGTGCAGGTAACTCATTAAATGGCATCTTTTGTGATGTCAGGGTTGGGCTGCAAATTTATAATGCTGTATTCACATATCATCAAGACTGCACTACAATTTGGAAACAGAACAAAGCACATTTGTAACAATAAGGTACAACAATAAGTTGTTTACTCCCTGTCCAGAGGGCCCAGATTTTAATGAGGTCAATGCTATACATGATCACTTACCTATGTGCAGGTATCTTCCGGTTCCCAGCAATCAGGATCACATCACAGAGTTGCTGTTGTTTCAGGTAACTTTCCATCTTCCTGAAGGTTTGTTCAGCATGGTGGACAGCTTGATAGAATTCCTCAGAACTACTGGAATCCATATCACATTGAGGTGTCAGGGGAAGGCTAGTGACCGGCAACCTGTAGACCCCAAGCAGAAGAAAAAAATGGGAAACAAATGAGGCAAGATGAAGTGTCTCTGGAAGTACTGACTTAATCGCAGGCTTGGAAAGCTGATAAAAACTGGACTGAACGTGCCTTTTCCTGTTTTCATGACTTAGAATCACAATAGATGGAAGTCTCTTGGTTGAATAAATTATGTACAAAAATGGGTATGATCCCACTGGAAAAATATTTCTGCATCGTTATGCTAAGTTTTTTTTTAATTTAAAGAAGATGGAACTAAAAAATAATTCACATATTCAATTTAGTTAAATCATCCTCATTGCCGCCACCACCACTGCATTGAAACATAAAGATGTCCATCTAGCCCCCACTCCCACCCCAGCCACTTGTACATGGCAGGCATGTCATGAGCGGAGCCGGCTGGAGCTGGGGGTCAGACTAGATGGCCTGGGAGACCCCTTCTGACTCTCTCTATATCTATGTCTGTGTTTCCATGATTCTGTTTCTACTCCTCCAGTAGCAGTCCCAACATCAGGGGCCCCTCTCATTAGCATCAGCTAAGGTCTGTGGACCTACAAATACCTATAGTGCCCAAAACCAACCTTTAACATTAACTTGGAAAACAGGAATCAACAAATTGGTTCCTGAAATGTATGAATGAATCAACCTGATGATGTGTAGTTCATAAACAGATGCATCTTGCTGTTCCTTTCTGGACATTACAGGCCACCGGCTAGCCTTGGACTGTTGCGCCATCAACATAGAGACCACTGGAACACAATAGCTGTTGTCAAAAACTTCAGGGTGACTAGGCAAGGGTCTGTAGGCACTTTGCCCTAATACATACACTCGAGCAAGCTTTTTTTTTAATAAATGGAAAATTAAATTGGAAAACTTGAAGAGGTGTGAATTTCAAAGGATTCAGTGTTGGTTTGAAAAGTGCAAAATTAGGTAGATTAGCCTGAAAAGCAAAATTTTGTCATTATGTCATTCTATGTTGCTTACATTTGCTTCAACCCTGATTCTCCCCCTGCCCCAACTCTGATTTTGGGCCAGCTGCTCTTTTCCTTCCTTCCTGTCTTGCCTTTCTTTCCCTCCTTGTCCTGGTGAGTTTGCTTTCTTCTTCCTGCCAGTGCCCAGCTTCTCCCACTCCCCCCCCCAATTTTCTCTCCATCAGCTGAACAGTGTGCCTCCCCCATCTTTGTGGCTCTTTCTTCACCTTGAAGTGTGCCTTCTTCCTTTTGTTCTTCCTGGACATTTCTTTCTCCTCCCCAAGCACCCGTGTACTGCCTGCAGGTAACCTCTTCCCCCCGCCCCACCTTCCAGTCTTTCTGAGAGGTTTACTGGGGTGCCCTGTGGATTCCCACTGCTTACAAACACTGCTTATGGCTGCCAGGGACTTCTCCCAGCCCAATTTGGTCCTAGTTCACCAGAGAAACAAGGAGAAAGCATGCCAAACCGCAATGTTCACCAGCATCAACCAATCCTGGATTCCAGTTCTGCATTAGTTATTGGGTTTGAAGGCACCATTGCTCAAAATAAACCAGGTTCTTATTTGACTCTCTCTCTCTCTCTCTCTCTCTCTCTCTCTCTCTCTCTCTCTCTCTCTGCATGTGTGTGTGTGTAGTTTTTCCTCATGTATGTAGCGAGTTTGAGACACCGCAGCATTATCCTTAAACAAGTGGCCAACACCAATGATTTTGGAAAAGTGTATTTATCTTCCCTTCTGAACAGCTGTACTCATTGCTAAATAAATTTTGACCTGAAGCTGAATAAACCATATGGCTGAGCCTGCTTTAAAAAGAGAAGGTAACAGGTTTTCCTGACAAGTAGATGAATTCTGTTTGGAGAGTTCTCTGAGGGAGATATATTGAATGAAACTGGATTTCTGTCTGAGCCGTCTGTCATTTTATATACTTGGGAATCTGTGTGCTGGAACATTGTGTCAGTTTAATAATAAGTTAAAAGATGAATAGCTCCATCCTTAAAAATAACAGTGGTGGTGAGACTCCTTCTGAATTCAGTAAGGGTTCTGTCTCTATGTTGCTCCTGTTTTGGGTCTGAGATATTAGGATAAAGGGCAGCTTAAAAATCTGCTCAAGAAATAAACAAAACAGTTGAATACACATCAACAGGTGTAGGACTGTTCACATTCCAGCAAGTGTAGAATGAAAACATCATGAGGGAAGAGAAAGGACAGTGCCCCCAGCTGAACTCCATGAAATCATCCAAAACTATAGACAGTGACTGCCCATGTGGAACCTCTATGGGTGTAGTGAGTATACATCTCCTAATTTATATATACATATATTCTACTCACAGGTTCCAGTACAAACCTAGAGGCTGGAATGCCTGCTAACAGCCCAAATCCTATTTCCTTCCTTCTGTACAGGTGAATATGTGAACAATATTAATTTGAAAGACAAGGAATGCCATCAGCTCACTGGTTTATTATTGGGTTTTTATGGGTCTCCTCAAGGCTGTGAGACTAGAAAGGTACACCCAGCTGATTTTCCAAGATCCTCCTGTTTGTATCTGAATCTTGTTGTTGTTAGTCGCAAAGTTGTGTGCGACCCATCGCGACCCCATGGACAACATTCCTCCAGGCCTTCCTGTCCTCCACCATCCCCCGGAGTCCACTTAAGCTCATGCCAACGGCTTCAGTGACTCCATCTATCCACCTCACTCTCTGCCATCCCTTTCTTCTTTTGCCATCAATTGTTCCCAGCATTAGGCTCTTCTCCAGGGAGTCCTTCCTTCTCATTAGGTGGCCAAAGTATTTGAGTTTCATTTTCGGTATCTGGCTTCTAAAGAGCAGTCAGGGTTGATCTCCTCTAGGACTGACCGGTTTGATCACCTTGCAGTCCAAGGGACTCGCAGGAGTCTCCGCCATCACAATTCAAAGGCCTCAATTCTTCAGCACTCAGCCTTCCTTATGGTCCAACTTTCACAGCCATACATTGAATCTAGAACAGGATTAATATCCTGTATGCTTGTATTGACTCTGCTGTGAATCGGTGGAATGACTTTACATTGGTATTTCTCAAACAGTCTTTTCTAGCAATCGTATCTCCCACAGCTCCTGATCAGTGGAGAACAATTTCCACAACTACATGCATACACAACCATATTCTTGTGAGTGCAACAGATTTTTGTTTCTTTGATTGCCTATTTAGCCAATGCACACCTATGAACTTGATTTGAAGCAACGAAGTCTAAAAGATGGACCAGTGAGACACACCAAGTCATAGTTCAGTCTTAATAAATTCTGGGTCTTCTGAGAGCTTCTTTGTAACATTAGATGTTAGTGAGAATATGATAAGCAGATTTATTTGAAGGAACATGGCTGTATATTATCTGAGACAAAATTATAGGCCAACGTTTTTCACTGAAAGGCACAAGGGCCACGCCAGCTCCCAGCCATTTCAAGTATGGCCCTCTCCAACTTAGTCAGCAAAACGTTCTAGCTTTGCCTTGATCTTTACTTTCACAGAGGGCCAACGGTTATTATCTGAGCTACCAGGATATTCAATGTCAGAAGAGTAAGATGGCTATGTATGAAGGCAGAACTGGGTTGCACCAGAACTGGGTGGGATGGTAGAGTACTGGCTCAATCCACCAATGTGGAAAGGAGAAGGAGACCAATAGGCAAAACACAATAGACTGACTATCTTCAGTGGTGCACAGGGCAGGAGGTGGAGAGGAAATTGGATGCCTGGACAAGACTGAGCAGCACGGACCTGCACGGAGAGATTCTGGTGCACTCTGAGCAGGGCAGATATTGTCTCAGTGACAATAAGAGGATCCATCCTCGGTCATCCTTTCAAGATTTCCGCACCCAGTGATGTCAAGTCTGAGATGGCCTTGTTGAATGATGTAGAGACGGGCAGTCCTGGAAGAGACTCCAGGCAAGGCCAATGCATAGCTCTGCTGTTTGACATGAGATGGGGGAGAGAACGACCCCCATCCACCTCCATCTGGTAAAGCCCCCCGCATGGCTTCAATGGAAGCACGAGAAGCCCCACTGCTCCTGATTGAAAGAATAGTTAAAATCACTGATTAGGCATTTACATTCTCAACGCGGTTGGCTGTAACATTTCCTTTCTTTCTTTATTTTGCTGCATTTTTATAGCACTCTCCAGCTAAAGCTCTCTGGGCAGTTCAGAAGTTTTCTTAGAAGGGGGAATGGATGCATTCCCCGGACTTGATACTCAAAAGCTGCTTCTGGAACAATTTGTTCTAGCATTGCTGGTGAAGAACTAAGCAGTTGAAATGGATTCTTATACACCAATTCAAGGCAATACGCTTTAATCCTTAATAAAACATTGTGAAGTACTTTCATTTCCAGGCAGTCTTGTCTGGCTACAAAGAACACTTCTGGAAGTGACAGCGACAAACAGTAACACCTTCCAGGCTGAAACCCCTGTGAGGTCCAGTGACAGCATGAATTAGGAGTCCAGGTGAGGCAAGCGGGCTTTGATCTCAGTGACAAAAATCTCACTGACTTAGGTAGAACCGATGCACCATCCTGGCTGCAAGCTCCATTTTTCTGGGTGCATCTGTGAACAGTGTATACTGCACAGTTTTATCCACAGCACTGCTGCTAAATGAGTTGCGATAAGCAAAGCAACCATCATGTCCTTGTTTTCCTGGAGTATATCTCTTTTTATGATCTGAAGAGAAACCGGAGAGTGGCACATAACTCTTTTGAGATCAAGGACAAAGGAATTGACTCCTTCCTCTATAAGCTTTAACTACTTTAGCTACATGCACACACCTCCCATGAACCACTGGCCTTCTGAGCATTCTCATTCGCAGCCCCAAACATGAATATGAATGGGAGTGCATTTCTCTGCCAAAACTTCCCAAGCTTGCAGGCACAGTCAAGCCATACCCTTATCATAAAAGCATGCACTTTAAAATGAGTCTCTTTTTTTAATGAACATGTTCATGGTCTAATCATTCTGAGAAACTGTGCATTTGGCTGTATGCTTCTTTAAAAAATGTACACCCAA